TTTTAAAAGGTTATACCTCTAATTTCTACAGGACCTGTCTTTCCCAAGGCCCCTCAAAGAGCCAGTGATAGGATGAATGATAATGGCTGAAAATGTCGTGTTCTCAGATTTTGTCCTTTTGTAGATATGTGGTAGCCACAAAATATGACTTGGCAAGTCCTCTGTGGTGTTATTTAAGGGACTTCCTAACATCTAACTTAAACCAGATATGCACTTATCTCTTGGGTGTCAATACTTCCTAGGCATTCGAATACACTTGACCCATTTCCTGGTCTTAAGCACCACTTTTTTTTTAACCTTTTTTTTTATTTTATATATATTTTTTACATCATTTTTTATTTTTGTACAATGTATGCATTTTCATCTTGGTTATTGTCCCCGTAAAATTCCCACCCCCCTTGTTTTGATCCTACTCCCTCCCCAATTCCCTATCCCCCCAGCCCAGTGTGTCTCTGGTTTATAGTTACCTGTTGATTTTGATTTTTACTTTATTATAATTAGTCTTTTTCCTGATACCTTATTGAGGTTTTCTAAATTCCTAATGAGTGAGACCATCCAGTATTTTTCTTTTCTTTCTGGCTTATTTCACTGAGCATGATCCCTTCCAGATTCATCCATGTTGCTTCAAATGGCATGAGTTTATCTTTTTTGATTGCTGAGTAATAATCCATTGTGTATATGTACCACATCTTCTTGACCCACTTTTAAGTGTGCATTCTTAGCTGTGGATAACTTTATAAAATAGGAGATATAACTTGATGCATAAAAATGACTCAAAAATACTAAACTGTGTTTTTGCGTCCTAAATTTCTTTATAGAAATCTATACTTTCTTCTAATGATAAAAGTAATCCATAAATGTAGGTATCCCCCACTCTTCAAAATTTTGATTTATACTACTTGCTTTTTACAAAAGACCTACATTGGTACCTTTTTCCACTAAGCAGAAGAAATCTGAAGAGGATTTCCACTTTTCAGGCAAAGGTCAAAAAGTTTAAACAGGGCCAGGTGGGGTTGCAGTCTGTATGCTAGAGCCCAGGTCACCCAGAGCAGCAAGAGTAGCCATCAATCTCCTTCCCTGGGAACTGCTTTATGCTGGTATGTCTACAGGAAGGTGTGACCATGCAGCCCTGTGCCCCCATCATGCCTGCAGTCACCTTGAGCAAGTTACTTAACCTTGAGCCTCCATTCTTCCATTTGTAAAATGGGAATACAAATAGATCATTGCTTTACTACTATTAGTAAATCTTTTTTTTTTTTTTTTTTTTTTTTATGTGGGACGCTTGCCGGTGGCTCCGCTGCAGAGGGGGCAGGCAGCCTCGCAGCCCAGCGCTCAACCGCTAAGCCACCAGGGGAGGCCCTACTATTAGTAAATCTTAACCAGTTATGCTAATTATCTATATTTCTCATTCCACTATTTGCTTTTTAAGCACCTGAAAGAATATCCAGCACATAGTCAATTACTCAATTCTCATTATTCTTTTTCACATAAAATTCTGAAAACCATTTTTAATCTTTCTTACATGTGAGGGAGGAATGGGTTAACATTAGTTCTTTTTAATATCATTACCTGATCCAGTAGCGTGTATCTAGGGCTAAATTCATTCCCTATTATTGCTTTAGATTGTCTTATATTCTATATGAAATGTATTTCTAGACTGTTCCATTAATTAGAACCTATATTTTCAAGCATCAAACCATGTTTTTTACTTTTACTTTGTAATATATTTTAAAATCTGAAAAATGAGGTCAAACACTAATTGTTAAAAATCTGAGGTTTTTTCCTGCTTTTATTGTCTTTTCATCTGCTAGCTCTTACAGGTTCTAGAAACTTATCTGAGATACTGATATCAATATTATAAATGTATATATTAATTTATCTAATGAATTATTGTCAGATAATTTAGCTATTAGTATTAAGTATTAGTATTTCTAATGGTAATATGCTCCACTGATTCATGTTTTCCTTCATTTTATCAGAGCTTAAGTATTTGTTATAAATCTCTGTCCTGAGTCAAACCTCCATGTTTTGTGCTATTGGTAAAAGTGTACTTCTTTCATGCTATTTCCTATGTCATCACTAGTAAAGAGAAATGAAACTGATTTTATGGGTTAAACCTATATCTTGCTGTTCTACTAAACAAATTTATTACCTCTACCAATGTTTTATGAAGTTCTCTAAATTTTCTAGATGGGGAATCATGTCCTCTACAAAAAACAAGTGTTTTAGATTCTCTTTATAAAAGAAGTGCTCCTTACTGCCCCCTCCATACAAAATCAAGCTAAAAAAATTGCCTCCTGGGCTTCCCCGGTGGCGCAGCGGTTGAGTGCTGGGTTGCGAAGCTGCCAGCAGCCTCTGCAGTGCCGGTTTGATCCCCGGCTGCTCCCCGGCCACTGGAGGAGGGTCCCACATGGCGCGCAGACCTCTCCTGCCGCCCGCTGCTCCCCTCAGCAGTGTGCTTTGGTCCTTCTGCCTGCTCTGCTCCCCACTCTGGCTCTGGTGAATTCTCTCACCCTCCCACACTTCTGACTATACCCAGTGCTTGTATAAATAAATAAATAAATCTTTAAAAAAAAAAAAATTGCCTCCTAACTCTACTTTAAGCACTTTATATGAAACAGATTTTGAAATTTATTGAACTATTTCTCAAGCTTTTGAGTGAAATAATTTTTGTTTTTTCTTGATGTTTAATTTGATAAGATTTCTTGTGTAGTAACAGCTTCAATTTTCTAGGCTAATCCTTTCTCGATTACAATAATTTTTTTTTCATGGTATCATATTTATTTTTACATCTTTGTTTATAATTAATTGCTACAAAACTTTTAAAGTGTACTTTTCAAATTTGGGGATCAAAACAATATCTGCCTCATTAAGTGAATTAAAAACCATATTGTCACATATTTCATAGATAGTACATATCCTATGATAGATGAAAAAAATGGTCAGGCCTTTTTTTTAATGTAAATGAATCTATTTTCCCCTTTTTTTGCCTTCATAACCTCTATATTATGGTTAATTAAAGTATTTTTATAAGATGCTATTTTGTAAGTTTGACATAACGATCAATGTCTGTTTATTAGTATTACCAGTACTACAAAAATCTTTGATGTTAATCATTATAAAGCTCATTTTAATGTTAATTTATTATTGTATATTCCACTCTTGTTACCACTACCTAATAAGGTAAACATCTATTTTGTTATTATCTTCTTTTTCCAAATAGTTGGTTTCTAATCTCAGATTTAATTTTCTCTTCAACCAGCTTTTTATTATTATTTGCTATGACAAAAAATATCTCTTTTAACTTCATACCATTTTGTAAACCCTGTTTTCTATTTGGAATAAATTGGGTAGATTTTAAAGCAAACCGTTTTCTTCTCCTGGAGATAAAGCATAATTTTTAGAGACAGCATATGGTAGAACCAAAAAAAAAAAGAAGAAGAAGAAGAAGAAGCAATAGCCCTTCAAAGTCTTACAGATAAATGTAATCTATTTGCATTTTATATTATATCTGAGCCACACTTCAATTTCTTTTTGGCATGCGCTTAGATATAATAAATAAAACACTGTTTTGAAAATACCATCCCACATATGTCAATTGCACATTTATCTTTTGGGGCATTATTTTTCACTTTCTCTTTTCACTGGCTTTGTCTCTGAAATAAACTTTAAACCATTTCCTTTTAAACAAAATGAGAAGACCATCTCAGACAACAGATTTCTTTGTCCTGTGTTCAGTTTAATGCAGACAGTGATTCTCTGAGGACAAGGAAACCTGCTGGGTCTAGGTAGAATGGAATGTGCTGGAAACAGCCCTACATCACCATGCTTCAGAGGCCAAGGCAGACTTGCTGTTTTCATCTGGTGCAAGTTCCCCTGTGTGAGCAAACTATCAGAGTAGTTGTTCCCAAAAGTAGACCCATGACATTCCTCTGCTAGATAGGGACCATCAGGCAGAGAAATGCCAAGACAGCAAAATAGCAGGAATCATGGATTCCATTCTGAGGAAAGAAACTTCCACAAATGACATGGGAGCTCAGGTCCCTAATTGACCAAACTCCATAGCATGGTCTTGTTTAAGGCAATGTCTGGAATAAAGGCTCAGGAAAAATCATTATCCAGTAATTTGCCACCCAACTTGGGGGTTACAGGTAAATTCTGGTCTAAATTCACACCTGGGACAAGAAACCTGGTGATCGGCTGGCAACGTGCCCTTCCTAGGTGGATACCTAGGGGATCTTGCACTGAGTCTCCATTTCACTAATTGTGAGATGTACAATAAAGTACTTAACCTTATTGTCCTCAATGTAAATAAGGGAAAATACAGTACATATACCCCGTGGCTGTTGTATAATTTTTGTAAAGGATTAAAGACAATGTGAGTAAAAATGCTTACACCACAAAGGGTTTAATAAATCTTAGCTGATGTTATTATTATATTGGGACCATGAAAGTGAAGGAATAAAACACGCTATTTCTAGAGGGGTCTTTCCCTGATTCTGGGACTGGGGGAAATTTATTTTCCACTAACCTGAGTGAGGATGAGCAGGGGCGGCAGGACTGTCAGACACTGTTCTTTTAAGGAAATTTGCGAAGCTTCCGCACTGAAGACCGGTCCTTCGGATCAGCACCTGTCCCTGCCCACTTGTTTCTAATAGGTACTGAGTTATCGAAGTGAATAAGAAAAATACTGACAATAAATGCTATGCTCAGAAAAACATCATGACTCTTCCTGTTTTTCTTCCTGCTTTCATTTAGAGCAAAGGTTTTGTTTTCCAGAAATTTTTCACTTTTTTCCTCTCTGCTTTTTCTCAGTATAGTTCCTCACTTGGTTCTTCAAAGAGGGCGACACTTATCTTTAGGTGTCTTTCTAATTAAAAGTTGAGCGGAAATTAGCAAGGGGGGAGGGGAGAAGCATATTCTTCTGACCCCAATTAGTGCTCCCACCCCGGGGACTGCCGCTGGCTTTGCTGTTTGAATAACCTCTAGGAGTCTCCACCCCCACAGATCAGGTTTGAACTCCAGAACAAATATTTGTCCCATTTTTTTGGTACGAAGTTTGAGAGCTTTCTTCTTCTGTCTTCTTTTTTAAACCGAACTGTATTCTTCTGGTGTTCCTTTGAACTTGGCTCAGTGAAGACTGGATTCTCCCCCGACCCTGCTCCGGGGAGCTTGGCAGAGCTGCCCAGCAAAATGGAACGACTCACGTGCTGGCTCATCTGGTTCTTTCTTTCAGAAGCACAAGGCTTTGAAATCCCCACCAATGGACTTCCAGAAGTAAGTACTTCCAGAAAACGACTTGTTGTTTGTTGTCCTGTAGGTGTGCTCCATAAATAGTCTATTGCTTTGCTAATCCGGGACTGTGCTCTGTATGGAGAGAGATAACATAAAATTAACCTGAGTAGAAGAGTTCACTGTTATAATTCTTGGAGTGTGAGTTTACCTTTTAAAGCATTAAAGGGTTTCACATGAGAATTAAGTCAAACAGCCGACCAGCCCCATATTGTGACATTAATGTGCACAGTTGCGTACTTCTTATAGGGATAATAATTGATCTAGCCCAAACGGTTGTTATGAGAATTGAATGATATGTATATGCCAATACAATGCAAGCACTAGGTAGTACTTAATAATGATTAGCTATGATGATGATGGTGATATATAAACACTCTTGTTGAAAGTGCAAGGAAAGTCGGGCCTCCCGGTTGGTGCAGCGGTTGAGCGCTGGGTTGCGAAGCTGCCCGCAGCCTCTGCGGCGCTGGTTCGATCCCCGGCTGCTCCCCAGCCACTGGAGGAGGGTCCCACATGGCGCGCAGACCTCTCCCGCCGCCCGCTGCTCCCCTCAGCAGTGTACTTCGGTCCTTCTGCCTGCTCTGCTCCCCGCTCTGGCTCTGGTGAATTCTCTCACCCTCCTGCGCTTCTGACTGTACCCAGTAATTGTATAAATAAATGAATACAAATAAATAAATAAATAAATCTTTAAAAAAAAAAAAAGTGCAAGGAAAGTCATTATTGAAGCACTATTGTTTTTATTTTTTTTTTAATTTTTTTTTTTTATAGAGGCATGTTTTATTTATTTATTTTATTTGTTTGTTTGTTTTGTTTTTACATGCGCTGGGTACAGTCAGAAGCATGGGAGGGTGAGAGAATTCACCAGAGCCAGAGTGGGGAGCAGAGCAGGCAGAAGGACCAAAGTACACTGCTGAGGGGAGCAGCGGGCGGCAGGAGAGGTCTGCACGCCATGTGGGACCCTCCTCCGGTGGCCGGGGAGCAGCCGGGGATCGAACCGGCGCCACAGAGGCCGCGGGCAGCTTCGCAAGCCAGCGCTCAACCGCTGCGCCACCGGGGAGGCCCACACTATTGTTTTTAATACCTAAGTGAACAATGATTTCTCGTCTAAGGTCACTTTAAATATTCCTGTTAAGAAAGGATGACAAGTGCAGGAATCATTCCCAGAGAGGTCAAAGTCTCTGCTTTGGACCATTGACCATCCCCCCACACAAGGAAAGTTTTGAACAGAGTCATTTGAAAGTCATGCAAGAGTTGTTTGGATGCCAGAAAAGCAACATGCATTGTGGGAACATTCTGGGGGTTACAGTAGATTGTAGTAACTGTAAAGTGGGTTACCTACAAGAATGCCAAAGACAGGGATGGCATGCTTGCAAAGAAAAAAAAAATTGCTCTGTCTGCTTAGAAACTATCATATTTTCCAACTCCTTAAAAAACCACCAGAATGTGTTGGAAATCTCATTGGCAGAGCCAGGAATCAAAGCCAAGACATTCAGATGTATTTGTGCTTTTTCAGTTCACTTTGTACTGGTACTCCTTTCATGGCTTCATTTTGAACTATAAGGGATCTTGTATCTATCCAATCAGAAACTGCTGATGCCCCTAAGAGCTAACCAGTATTTCCCCACAAGCAGCTACCTGATCACAAGTGACTTCGACCTTCCTCCCTCAAAATGATTTCCTGCATCAAACAACTTTGAAGATGCTAATTTCCATTTACGCATTTGACACATAGCTAGCAAACAAAGACATTAAAGAAATCATTGTATAAAAATAGGAGATATTCATGCATCTGAGAAGGTGTGGCCATATGCCTTTGAATCACATACCATATTTTAAACTAATGTTACCTCAATATAGAAAAATGAATGTTTCCAAGAAGTATAGGAAACAAGGCAAAAATTACATATATTCAATATAATGAATACGCTTATGCTTGTCCTAGATGCTCTTCTGCTCTAGATCTTTATTAATAGAAATAAAAATCCTTAATTCTCTTTTAAGTTTGCAGAATATGAAGATCTTGTGGAAGTGGCCCCAGGCAAATTTCAATTTGTACCAGAGAGCCGGAGATATCAGGTGCAATAAACCTTAATTCCAAATGGGAAATTAAGTGAAAGTCATCATAATTGAAGGTTTAAGCTGACTTTTGCTAGACTTTCTCAAGAGCTCTTTTTTTTAGCAGAATCCACTGGTTTTACACATCAGTGGAGACATTATCAAGGTGAAATAAAGTGAGACCTGCATACAGCTGTCCTCAGTCTCCAAACCATAATGTTCACCTTATTCCCTTAAAGGATACATGGTTTATCCCAGGGGTGTTAAATGCTTCCCATGGCAGCCACAAATTCTCCTTCCTCCAGTAGCAGCTGCACAGACAACATGCTTTATAAATGAGAGTGAATCTTTCAGGACACCAGCAAGAGTGTGGCTTCCCCCACAGAGAGCCGATATGTTGGAAGAAGAGGCATTTTGCAGAACACTGCTAAATTGACCGATGCCTTATTTTATACGTGAATTTTTGACTTTCGCAAAGTCCAGGTTTTTGAACAATAAGCAAGTCCCTGTGTCAGGATCTTTATGTAGCCACAAAAGAGAAAATTGTTGTCTAAAAGTATAAAAGAAAACAATTGTTGATCGCACTGTGTCACATAGCATTCCCTCAACACTATCTACCCCAAATCTGAGAAGCTAACTTTATGTGTAATATCAGACTGCTTATTGTAAAATCTACCAGATATGAAATGTTCATCAATCCCTCTAAAGTCACTCAGTTTTCCATGCCCTCCAGAGAGTACTTGCTCTGGATAACTCACTAGCACAGGGATTAAAGGACAGTTACCATGCTTGGCTCTTGGGCCCCCGCCAAGGAGGAAGCACATGGAAGTCCTTGTTTGCAGGTAGCTTAGTCTAATGGAGAAGACAGACATGCACTCCCACGGTTTTTCTTTGAAGGAATGACTATGGTGATGGAAAAATACTTAGTAAAGAGACATACGGAGATTGAGGGGGTCACAAAGAGTGTCTCAAAGAAAATTCTGCCCATGCTGAGATTTGAAGGATGAGTAGGGATTAGAGTGGGACAGAGGGGACTTGAAAGGAGAAGCATTGCAGACAGAGGGATAGCAGGTTCCAAGACCTATTGTAGAATAGAGTAGTGAAATAAACATTCAACTGAATAAAAAATAAATCAGATAAATTGACAAGATAAAGGTAGTATATGCTACTTAGCATGAGGTTGGTTGACTATTTTCAAGTAAAAACATTTATTTTAGCATTATATTTAAGACTGATGTGCATGCATCCAAAAAGTGGCTTGGAATATTGTTCACAGAAATATGCCAATGGGAAAATAATATTCGAAAATAATTGGTATTCATGTCTTAGCTCCATGAATGAATTGGTATATTGAAAAGAAATTTTTTTGACTAAGAATAAACAGTTTTAACCCTCTAAGTAATAAGTAACATACTTTTGAAAAATGATTATCTAACTTCCTTTCACAGAGGAGCATTTCTGGAGAATCCGGGGAAGTGATGGTGAGTTTACTTTGACTTTGTTAAAATTTGATGACCAAGTGATTTTTCTGTTACCTATTATCTAAGAATCAATAGAGTTGCCTCTTTTGTCTCTACCACGGAGAGCATTTACCTGCCTTTCGAAATACTGCCTTTCCCAATTCTGTTGGGAAGTGGGTCTAAACTTCAGCATTCAAGAAGACAGTGTGTCTGCAGCCAGGAGACACATCACCAACAGCAGAAAATGTCCTTTCTACTTTTTTCAAGGCTTGCCAACAGCCTAAGTTTCATCCAAACATTTGTCTATTCCAGCTTATCTGTTTTGATTTAAAATCTGATACCTAACAGCTTTGGAGAGTAAAAGAGTAACTGTGGGAAAGAAACTGGCCCAGCAACCTGAGATTTTCAATGTTCAATGTCGTTCATCCTCCATGACAAGAAAAATATCAAAAGGAAGTGATTTGGTTTGACTTCCTGGTCTGAACTGACAACTTGTGAGAAGCATGTTTAAAAGGGTAGGAAGGGCAAATAGCTTACCCTCCTTTTTTCTTAGCTTGAGGTGAGTTGGATGTTAATGAGTTGAAAGGTTTCATAGTAGATGACAAGTTTGGGAGGTGACATCTAGTATTGAAATAAGCAAAGCAAATCCTTTCAGGGAAAAAAAAAAAAGTAAACAAATGGGTCACATAATTGCCCCAGTCCTGAAGCAGCTTACTGTTTTCAGGTGGCCTCTTTAGCAATTTGCCTTTGGGCATAGTGATATGCTGCCAACACTGTTTACCCTGGAGCTGCCTTGAATCAAGAGAGAGAGATATTAGCAAAGGAGGTCATATGCTGGCCCAGCAAAGCATCAGAATGCCCATTTCTCGGTATTCAGTTTGCTCCTCACACCAGTCAGTGTTCTTGTGTTTTCTCTTAAAGTGGGGAAGGAGAAGAGGACTGGAAGATAAAATTGTCATTAGATAAAAGTAATAAAGGCAGATAGCGTGATAGGGCTTTGAGGACCACAGGTACTCACATCTTAAGATACTCCTGACTGTTCCCCCAAAGATGCGGCTGGGGTCCCCTTTCAGCCCTGCAGGCCTGTATCCTTCCCCACGCCATAATCCTACATTCAATGTTATTTCCTAAACTGTCATAATCCAATATTTCTTCCCACATTCATTGCCATTTGTATTCTGATTTTTAAATCATTATTCATAGACTGATAGAGATAAAAAACATTGCAAACTATCTCAAAGCAAAGACAAATATCTGCCTGGAAGGCTATTCCAAGAAGTTAGGAGAATGCTTGATAGTTCCTGAGGAATGTATTTAATAATGCTTTGGGATTATTTATAAAATGTGGATGGTTATGAACCTCAAATATGTAGTGAAATTTTGTGTAATTTTTCCATTAGTACAATTATGCTTTCTCGCCATTTACAGGAGGATGCTGATCAAGTAACCCTTTATAGCCATAAAGTCCAGTCCACTATTACTTCTCGTATGGCCAACACCATCATCCAGACGAAAGTGGTGAACAACTCCCCAGAGCCTCAGAATATTGTGTTTGATGTTCAGATTCCCAAAGGAGCTTTCATCTCCAACTTCTCCATGTGAGTAACTCCTCAAAATGTGGATATGTTCCGCTCACAGAATCAGCCTCCCTCATGATTAGAATGGACCTGAATAGTCAACTGTTCCAATGCTCTCACTTCCAGAACTGTGGACCTACCAGACAACAAGAATCATCGTGTGTGTGTGTGTGTGTGTGTGTGTGTGTGTGTGTGTGTGTGTGTGTGTGTGTGTGTGTAGGCGCAGGCGCGTGTATGTGGGTCCCAATAATTTGTTCAAAGTATCAGAATTTGTGAAGGATTTGCTTTTCATTTCTAACACTTTAAAAGCAAACTAAGCTTCCTCTATGCTAACAGCTTCCCATTTGCTTGCATTTTAATATGCTTGAGGAGGGAGTGTGTGAAGAATTAGATTGAGTTGCCCTGGCTTACAGGGAACCATGTGAGTGTGTGTAAAACAATTCAGCATTATTTGTCACATGCTCTCTTTGGAAAAAAGTTGAGAACCACTTATTAAATTCAATTACCTATCTGATGCTTGAATCCCCTTATTATAACCACGGACAAGTGTATTATCCAGGCTTGACTTGAATATATCCTTAAAGATAAACTCACTATTTCCCGAGGCAATCCACTGTGTGGTTGATAGATCTGTTAGAATTATTTCTTATACTTAATTGAAATCTGTTATATTTCCTACCTGATAATTATAATTCTACACACAATTTTTAAAAAATCCTCTCCAAAATATATACTGAAGTGTTCAAGGATGAGATCATATGCGATCTGAGATTGGCTTAATGTGTGAGAGCTTAACTCACAAAATGACCTTTAAGCCAAACTTAAGCCAGACAACCTGTGATTTATCAATCTCCTCTCCTATGCATATTTGTAATTCAAAAAGCATACCTAAAGAAAACAGGCTTAATCCAGAGTAAAATTTGAAATTGATGAAAAACTTAAACCACAAGCAACAGTATGTTAGGAAAAGCTTTTAGGATGGGAGCTTACCTCATCCCTCTTAAGGCACAATACCAGAAGGGACTCCCGTCTATGAAATATGCAAAAACGTCTTTCTTGTTTCTTACAGAAGCTAAATGATAATGGTCCCTATTCATCAAATCCCCATTGTTGAGTTGTTTGCTTGTTGTTTATTTTGCTAAGACTGCTGTTAGGACCAACAGTGTGGCCTTCTGTTATTTTCTAGGACTGTAGATGGCATGACATTCACCAGTTCTGTCAAGGAGAAAACTGTGGGCCGAGCACTATACTCACAGGCCAGAGCAAAAGGCAAAACGGCTGGGTTGGTGAGGTAAGGGCAGGGCTACTGGTTGCTGCTCCTGCTCAATCCCATTCCCTCAGTGGCAACCAGCCTCCAGAGAAGCACAGAGTCTTGTTGCTGGATGGCAGAATTAGAGCTTGAAATTTCTACCAGGTTGTTGAAAAAGTCATGATGTATTTTTTCTATGTTTCTCAATCAAAAATGCATCATGACTTTTCCAACAGCCCAATATGTCCCTAAGACCTCTCTACAAAAAATGGGTCTTGCATGATCTCAGGTAGGTTAATCTTACATACCTTGCCTTGTATGTAAATGGATGTTCTGAAAATAAGCACTGATAGTCTAAAAGAGTACATAGAGGAGCTACAGAAATGTTGGTATTTCCACGTATGCGGAAAGAATGGTCTCAAATTCATTGCACTAATTTTATGGTGTAGAACTTTTTTCAGCATCAGTCACCTAGCTTAGGTTCTGTTGAATTCTCCCAGAGAATTCAATAAGACACAGGGAATAAGACACAGGGAATGCTAAAGCCCCCTTGAAAAAGCAGCCTCTCAAACAAGCAACTTCAACAGAATTTTCAACTGAAAACTGCCAGGGAGCAACCTACATGGCACAGCAGCATATTAATCTTCTTCCAGATTCTGGCTTCATTATTTTCTTCATTTCCTCCTCCTCTTCTATGCCCCAAACTTACCTTTAGTTGAAGTGCTTTTCACTTCATTTATGTATTTCTTTCATTCAAAGAAAATGTCTATTCAGGAGGTACCCAGTTGTGTCAGAGGCTGCAGCAACATCTAAAAACATTGTTAGTTCCATGGGGAGATGGACAACGAACTGGGGACTAGAATATATACAACAGGGTCAGCACTAATGAAGAAAGGGTAGAAAACCCTAATACTTCCCCAGTCCTAAGTGGGCTGACTATGCACAGTCCCACCTCACTTAGTCAGTTATTTAATTTTTTTTAAAGATTTATTTATTTATGCATACAAGAGCTGGGGTACAGGCCAGAGGTGTGTGTGGGGGGTGAGAGGATTCACCAGAGACAGAGTGGGGAACAGAACAGGCAGATTGACCGAAGTACACTGCTGAGGGGAGCAGTGACAGGAGAGGTCTGCTGTGTCATGTAGGTTGCTCCCTGGCCGGCTGGGGATCAAACTCACACTGCAGGGGTTGCAGATTGCTTCATAGTGAGGTGCTTAACCCCTTGTGCCATGGGGGATGCCCCAGTTATTTAATTTTTTAAAAATCACTTGTAATGTTCAAGTTATCATCGTTTGATTAATCCTGCTGTTTACGCCTTAAAACCATAAACACCCCAAGACAAATGGTTACATTGGACTTGATATGTACAGGACTAAATAAGGTTTTACAGGGGAAATACTTATGATTCTGATGGAATGATAGATTTTTTTTCTGAAATTTTCAACATACATAGAATCCTTAGAATGGCGTCAAATGCAGTAAAGATGTGGTGTCTTTGAAATCATCTAAATTTGGATTCATGTTTCAGTCTTACAATTAACTAGCTGTGTGGTCCTGAGCAGGTTACTTATCTTTTAAGTGGCTCATTTATTATCAGATAAGAAGTGAGCGTAGCAATATCTATCTGGCCAAGCTGCTACATTACAGATGATGTGGGTCAAGTTCCTGGCACATAATCAGTAACTGGAAGGTCTTTACAAATGACAAATCAAGGGGCCTCCCTGGTGGTGCAAGAGGTTAAGCACCACACTAAGAAGTAGTCTGTAGCCTCTGCAGAATGAGTTCAATCCCTGGCCAGCCAGGGAGCAACCCACATGGCGCAACAGACCTCTCCTCTCTCACCTGCTGCTCCCCTCGGCAGTGTGTTTCAGTCAGTCTGCCTGTTCTGTTCCTCACTCTGCCTCTGGTGAATCCTCTCACCCCGCCCCCCGCATTTCTGGCCTGTACCCCAACTCTTACATGCATACATGAATAAATCTTTTTAAAAAATGACAAAATCTGAAAAGCTTGGGAAGAGAAAGATCTGGTTGGAGAGGAAATTGCAGTTTTCTCTCTTGTACCTACTGTTCATTTTCATGAACAATTAACAGGTGTGATTGCCCAGAAAAGTCTAGATGCCTCTGCCTAGATTCTGGGTCTTGTGCTTGACTGCACTTATAATAACTTACCTTGGGGGCTCACATCTTTAGGAGCAGGGCTCTTGACATGGAGAACTTCAAAACAGAAGTAAATGTCCTCCCTGGAGCAAAGGTGCAGTTTGAACTTCATTACCAGGAAGTAAAGTGGAGGAAGCTGGGATCATATGAACACAGGCTTCATCTGCAGCCAGGAAGGCTGGCCAAGCACTTGGAGGTAAGCACAGATGTGCAGGGGGTGCATGGAGGCTGTCCTCTAGGGCTCCCACCCCTGATTTAAGCTCTCCCTTTGTATCTGTTCTTGTGCTGTTTGATGTGACTCAATCTGCAAGAAGTATGGTGTACTGAAAAAATGATGGGTTTGGAGTCAACTAGGTTTCTTCCCTATAGATATTAATGTCAGCTCTGCTCCTTATTAGCTGTGTTAGCTTCCAGGGATTCTGTAACAAATTACCACAAAGCAGGGAGCTTAAAACATCATTATATTTATCTTTAAAAAAAAAGATAAATATCAGATGGTGTAACTTATATGTGGAATATGGAGAAACCAGGCAAAAAGTCAGATCAAGTCAAACTCAAAACTAACTCTTGAAAACTGACTGTGGAAGTGAGGTATCCAGAGGGGGAGAAGGTGACAGGGGAATGAAAAGAACAAAGAGGGGGAAGGAGCACATGGTTTATTCTGGTGGACTGGGTGCTTTGGTGGTGGGTGCACTATGGTAACAACACCTGAGAGGAGGGGACTCTATATTTCCAAAATACAAACAATTATGTAAACCAACATTACCTCAATAAAAAAATTAAATTAAAATATTATATCATTTTCAAGAAAAAAAAGAATAGCATGCCAGTGTCCACTAAAAAGAGTACCGAGACTTTTGAAAGTCTCAAAGCAGTGTCTATCAAGTATTAAGAGCTTGGGTCCTGGGTTTGAAGCCTGGCTTGGCCACTTACTATCTAGTTTATTCTGAATCTGTTTCTTTTTCTGTAAAATGAGAAATAACAAATAAGAACAATAACAGAAAATAGCAATCATATTAGTGAGGTTAAGTGAATTCATACATGTAAAGTACTTAGCACAGCATTTAAATAGATATAGAGAGAAATGGCATCTGTGACTATGGCTTTGCCAAGGATCACTAAAAGGAATTCCCTCCTATTTGGCTCTGTTCAAAGCAGGGAGACACAAAAGGAATCAAAAGACCCAGATGGGGATGAATGGGATGTTTATTATTAATAGATCCACAGAGTAAATGCAGAATCATTTAACAATGGCTTTCCTTCTATTCCCCACCCCCACCCCCACCCCTAATATGAATGCTCTTATAAGTAAAAAGAATAGACTAATAGAACAGGACAGGACAGGACAAAACAAACTAGAGCAAGATAGGATAGGATAGGATAGGATAGGATAGGATAGGATAGGATAGGATAGGATAGGATAGGATAGGATAGGATAGGATAGGATAGGACAGGATAAGACAGGATAGGACAAGATAGGACAGGATAGACTCTATATTAAATGCCAGAGGAATGAAGCAATAAGAGGGAGCACTGAGTTACCATGATGAGATGAATCCTATCCCATGGAGTTTAAGTGACGTGGAACCATGCTGGGTCATCTTTGGGAAAACTCAAAAATGAGAAAAACAGCAGAGCACTTACTTATTGTACTTCTTGCTGGAAAAAATTTGAAAGAGGGCCTTCCTGGTGACGCAGGGGTTAAAGACAGAGCAATCAAGCTATTGCCAGCCACTGCAGCACAAGTTCAATCCTGGCCAGCCTGGGAGAAACCCAATGGTGTAGCAGACCTCTCCTACCTCAACCACTGCTCCCCTCAGCAGTGTATTTCAGTAGATCTCCCTGTTCTACTCCTTACTCTCTCTAGGGAATCCTCTCACCTCCCACACCTCTGGCTTGTACCCCAGTTCTTGCAAGCATGCATGCATAAATAAATAAATCTTAAAAAAAAAATCCTAGAAAGATATTTTAATGATTTGAATATTTTTCTTTCCTTCCCCTCTCTAGGTTGATGTGTGGATTATTGAACCTCAGGGAATAAAATATCTTCACGTTCCTGACACATTTGAAGGCCATTTTGATGGGGTTCCAGTGATATCGAAAGGAAAACAGAAGGTAATGTAAGCATCTCATGGTGCGAAAGTCTGAGAGGCTGCCAGTCACAGGTGCTGCTCTCCCCCTGGGCACTGGGGAATGGATGGGGGGCAGGCATTGAGCCAAATGAGAAGTGCTCAGCTATTGAGTCCCACAAGGGACCAGTGTCCCCTCAGCAAAGTCTATGGTCCTCTGCAGGACATGAGAAACAAAACTCCCAACTCTTCCTCCCTTTTGACCAATGACTGTCCTCTTTGGACCTTCTTCTCCCCCCAGTCATTCACTCTACCCAGACAAATGTCATATAATCTATAGTGGATTGTCCTTAACCCAGCAGGAGATACTCATCTTAATTCTCTGCAGTAATAGTCAATAATAACCAACTTTGGAGGTATCAAACTCCTCTAAGAATAAATCACAGATTCTTTCTGGAGCTGGTGGCCATTTCCTCCGTGAAAAAGGGGAGGAATTCTTTGGATCTCACAAAGACATGACCACTCACACCCCAAGGCCCCCTCATATGCTGTGGCAATATCCCTTGCATCAGTGGCTGTACTGCTGGTGCTTCCTGTGCATGAAATGGCACAGCCTCGAACCCCTTGCCTGGAGAGGGAGGGGCAGTGTAGGCAATGACGTCACTGTTCTTTCCAGGCGCATATCTCCTTCAAGCCCACAGTAGCACAGCAAAGGAAATGCTTTAACTGCTCTGAGACAGCTGTGGATGGAGAGCTAGTGGTGGTATACGATGTGGCCAGAGAAGAGAAAGCTGGTGAGCTCGAGGTGGGTGAAAACACTCTAGAACTGCCATGCTGAGAACTGCTTCTTGGTGATTGGACTCACTGGCCTCTGGGTAGTTCTTAGTTGCCAAGGCAAGCATAAAGGCTGTCAGAAGCCTTATTTTCCAAAGTGTCTTGAGTATTTTATGTCAAGAGAACTAAATAAAGGGTCATTGGGTGTCAGGCTTTCTTCCCGAATGGTACTTCTAGGCCTTATATTAAAAACAGTAAAAATCACAAAATGGGAATTTGAGATACACTTCCAAGCCCTTTGCAATCTGCCTGTTAAAGAAAGCAGAGGTTATGGATTGACTGGATGGAACAACCAAAACCAAGAGAAAGATCTCTGGGCTGGTGGTGAATTCCAGAGTCAATGTTCACTGTGAGGTTTCTTGAAGTCTCCTTTTCCTTTATCATATCTTAGATGTATGTTCATATTTCCTGTAGAGAGTATCCAAAAGACTGTGCTCCCCTCCAGGGCCAGGGAGGTAAGGAGGTGCCCACAGCTATTATACCCCTTACCAGTGAACACTAGCATATCCTGGTAGAAACAACCAAAGTGGAAAGAGGATGAAGAGATAATCATAGAACCTGCTGTAAATAGAAGAGGGGAATCAGGAAGCTTGTTGGAGTGGCCCCCCCACTGACTTCAAGAGCTATCCAAATTCCCAGAGGACACATGATCGCCTATTAAATTCACTCATTTCTCAAATCCTTGAATGCTATGATCCCATTTCCCTGAACCACTTGCAGAGCTCCAAGGGTACCACATTTTCTCAATGGCAGGGCTGTGGTGGCTGAAACTCTCCTCACCCCTGCCCCTACCCTTAACTGAATGCACAGCCCTGCTAAACCTGACCCATCACCCGCAAGGGCAGCCTCACTCCACATTCATGCTCAAATCCAGGATAGATGCCATTTCTATGGGAAAGTCTTCCCTGTTTGAGCTTGATGCACCTCCTCTGGGTGCTATTGGAGTTATTTGTTTTCCTGATTTGACACTTAACACCCTGTGCTGCAAATACCCTCTTGTCCAGATACCCCACTAGACCCATGAGGGCAGAGCCTCTGCCTGATTCACCATTGACCAGTAGAGTATCTGGAACAGAGGCTCTCAATGCAGATCAGGTGGAGTAGAGGGTGAGTTAAACTGTTGAGAAGGCTTGAACTTTCCAGGAAATTAATGAAGGAGCAGAGGAGGAAGAATGGACGGAGAGATGGAACAGATATTTCTGTTCTCTTCTTTTTGCCTCCTGTTCACTGCAGCTTGCCACTCCTCTCTTAGTCCCAACCCCCCATAATCTTATATCCTAAACCTTGGGAATGATTTGGTTCACAAATATGTTCTGTTTTTCAGGTATTTAATGGGTATTTTGTCCATTTTTTTGCTCCTGAAAACATGGATCCAATTCCAAAAAACATCCTCTTTGTCATTGATGTTAGTGGCTCAATGTGGGGAATAAAAATGAAACAAGTAAGTAGTCCCTTGTTGGAAGGTGCTTGTGGGCCTCCTCCCTTCATTGATCCCCTCCCAGCAATGTACCGTCCCCCTGGGGTTTGTCTTAGTTCCTTTGAACTGACTTATAAACACCATTAGGGGAGCACCTGAAGTATGTGATCCTTACTTTAAAATAAGAATTGTCAAAATGATTGTGCATAACAAGATAGTAAAAGTTTAAGTTATAATGCAGACAATATATTCTGAATAAATGGGAGATAAATCTTTTTACTGAGATGGATTCCAGAGATTTTTCTGGAAGCATTATAGCTGGAGTCAGTACTTGAAAGATGATTTGGATGAACAATTGATCTTCCTCATTTTTTCTTAGTTTTAGACTTGTGTAATGAGACCCTTCTCTATTCTTTTTCAAAACAGACAGTGGAAGCCATGAAAACAATATTGGATGATCTAAGACCTGAAGACCAATTCTCTGTGGTTGACTTTAACCACAATGTTCGAACCTGGAGAAATGATTTAGTCTCAGCTACTAAAGCACAAGTTGCAGATGCCAAGAAGTATATTGAGAAAATCCAGCCCAGTGGAGGTGAGAGAGTTTAGCCTAGAACCTTGAAAGAGAATTCTATAGGGTTCAAATCTTGATTCACTTAAGAAGCTGTGTTCTCTACCACAGTGTTCTTTGCCCAATCTGCAGTGATCTGTCTTCAATAATACATTTCATGTTTAATGATAAATACCAAATTTGTGGTAGAAGATTAACACATAGTCTATCCCACATAAGTTTTTAACCATTCAAATCTTCCAGAGATGCTAGTTGTGCTACGGTGAGGAGGAAGGGAGGAGAGAAGATTTTATACTTACAAAATGTTATCAACTCTGTAAAACAATGGTACTTCCAAAAATGTAAGTTAAAAAATAATAAGTTTAAAAAAATAAATTTCTTTAAATATTCCAAAGGGATATAAATAAATGACATTAGCCTCTTACTACTCACAGAGGATAAAATGAAACTGTCTATACTTATAGATAGTATCAAGGCTGTCAGCAAGGCTGACAATGTTGCCTTAAACCTGATATTTAACATAATAACAGACTGGAGCTTTGAAAGGGTTTGTTCTTCTCTAAGGGAATAGCTTACCACAGAGTGAATATTTTACCCCCCCGGGGGATGTTGATCAGCTTGGGCAAAATTTGTGTCATTTGGGAAGCAAATGACTTGGGTACTGGATAAATAGTACATGAGTAATCACCAGACAGATGAACCTCAACCCAAGATATGATTGTCCCTATGCCAAGAACAAGTATAAATAGAACCATGTATTATTTTACTTTAACAGGCACAAATATCAATGAAGCACTTCTGCGGGCCATCTTCATTTTGAATGAAGCCAATAACTTGGGATTATTGGATCCCAATTCAGTCTCTCTGATCATTTTGGTTTCTGATGGCGATCCCACAGTAGGCAAGTATTGCATCAACATTCTAGTGACAAATATTTTTATTATTGTTTCTTGGGAGTGTGATTTGCTTTCAAAAGGCGACCAATAGCATTTGCCTGAGTTTCTAAATGATTTTAAACTTATCTTTCCTAGAACAAGGCTTCCTTTGGCTCTGAAGCCCTCTCTCTGCTTAAACAGATCCCCAGATCTCTTTTCAGTGATGCTACAAATGCTTCAGTTTCACCCCTATGATATGGGGAAACTTAAGTTTTAATATCACAGGCTACTTTGAGGGTGCTGGTACACAGTAGTGACTTGCATTTATGTCTTCAACTTAAGGTTATGAGTTAGTGAATGGCAGAAAGTATGATGAGTGCTTGTGCCAGGTCTGCAGTGGCACCCCCAGAGTCAAGATTCACCATTCTCCACATTTGCCTGGGTGCCACTGGGGAGAAATTACTTCTTTCTGATACATCCTTTGTGCCAAGCACTTTTCTTACCCACAAAATGACTTCAACATCTCCCTGCTTCTACTACGTCATGACATTTTATTTTCTTTTATTTGTGTCTTTTTTTTTATAAATTTTATTGTTATATTCCCCATACAATTGCAGCCTCCCCATTCTGACCCCAATCCCTCCCCTCCCGCCCCCCCCCCCTAAAAGTGTCTCTGGTTCATAGTTTTTTGTTGATTTTGATTTTAACTTTCTTATAGTTATTCATTTTCCTGGTCCCTTATTTAAGTTTTCTAGATTCCTGCTATGAGTGAGACCATCCGGTATTTTTCTTTTTCTTTTTGGCTTATTTCGCTGAGCATGATCCCTTCCAGCGCCATCCATGTTGCTGCAAATTGCATGTGTTTATCTTTTTTGAATGCTGAGTAATATTCCATGGTATATATGTACCACATCTTCTTGATCCAGTCATCTATTTTTGGGCATTTGGGTTGTTTCCAAAGCTTAGCTATTGTAAACAGTGCTGCTATAAACATAGGGGTGCAGGTGTTGTTTGGAATTGATGTTTCTGTGTCCTTTGGGTAAATACCTAGGAGTGGAATTGCTGGATCATATGGAAGCTCTATGTTTAGTAGGTCCAGAAATCTCCACACAGCTCTCCACAGTGGTTGGACCAGTTTGCACTCCCACCAACAGTGCAGGAGAGTTCCTTTTTCTCCACACCCTCGCCAACATTTGTTGTTGCTAGTTTTTTTAATATGTGCCATTCTCACTGGTGTAAGATGGTATCTCATGGTAGTTTTGATTTGCATTTCCCTGATGACAAGTGATGTTGAACATTTTTTCATATGTCTGTTGGCCATTTGCATTTCCTCTTCAGAGAAGTTTCTTTTTAGCTCTTCTGCCCATTTTTTGACTGGATTATTTTCTTTGTTGTTGCTGAGTCTCATCAGCTCTTTGCAGATTTTTGTGATCAGTCCTTTATCATTAGTGTTGGGTGCAAAAATGTTCTCCCAGTTGGTGGGGTTTCTCTTTGTTTTTGTTATTGTCTCTTTTGCTGTGCAAAAGCTCTTTAATTTGATGTAGTCCCAGCTGTTTATCTTTGCCTTCACTATCACTGCTTTGGGTGATGTGTCTGTAAAGATGTCTTTGATGTGCAGATCACGTAGTGTTTCGCCTATATTTCCTTCTATATATTTTATGGTTTCAGGTCTTATGTCTAGTTCTTTAATCCATTTTGAGTTGATTTTTGTGTATGGTGTGAGGTAGTGGTCAAGCTTCATTCTTTTGCATGTAGCAACCCAGTTTTCCCAGCACCATTTATTGAACAAACTTTCTTTGCTCCAATGCATATTCTTTGCTCCTTTGTCAAAGATTAGTTGACCATAAATCTGTGGGTTTATTTCTGGATTTTCTATTCGATTCCATTGGTCTGTATGTCTGTTCTTGTTCCAATACCATGCAGTTTTGATGATTATGGCTTTGTAGTATAGTTTGAAGTCTGGGAGTGTGATGCCTCCATTCCCTTCTTTTTTTTTCAGGAGAGCTTTGGCTATTCGGGGTTTTTTGTGATTCCATATGAATTTCATCAATAATTGTTCTATTTCTTTGAAGAATGACATTGAAATTTTGATTGGAATAGCATTGAATCTGTATATTGCTTTCGGAAGGATGGCCATTTTAATTATGTTTATTCTTCCAATCCATGAGCAGGGGATGTCTCTCCATTTCTTTGTGTCTTCTTCTATTTCTTTTAACAGTGTTTTATAGTTTTCTTTGTATAGGTCCTTTACCTCTTTTGTTAGATTTATTCCCAAATATTTGATTTTTTTTTGTTTCAATAAAAAAAGGGATGGTTTTTTGATTTCTTCTTCTTCAGATTTATTGTTTGTGTATAGAAAGGCTATTGACTTTTGCGTGTTGATTTTGTATCCTGCCACTTTACTGAACTGATTGATGAGTTGAATTAGTTTTTCTGTGGACTTTTTGGGGTTCTCTATGTATATTATCATATCATCTGCAAATAGTGATAGTTTGACTTCTTCTTTTCCTATTTGGATTCCTTGGATGTCTTTCTCTTGTCTTATTGCTCTGGCTAGGACTTCCAGTATTATATTGAAAAGCAGTGGTGAGAGTGGACATCCTTGTCTTGTTCCAGATCTTAATGGAATTGCTTTCAGCTTTTCACCATTGAGAAAGATACTGGCTGTTGGCTTGTCATAGATGGCCTTTATGATGTTGAGGTATGTTCCTTGTATCCCAAGAATTTCAAGGGCTTTTATCATGAATGGGTGTTGCACTTTGTCGAAAGCTTTCTCAGCATCTATTGATATTATCATATGGTTTTTATATTTCTTTTTGTTGATGTGTTGGATAACGTTGATTGATTTTCGGATGTTAAACCATCCTTGTGTCACTGGAATGAATCCTACTTGGTCGTGGTGAATTATCTTATGGATACATTGTTGGATTCTGATAGCTAAAATTTTATTGAGGATTTTTGCATCAGTGTTCATTAGGGAGATTGGCCTGTAGTTTTCCTTTTTTGTGTTGTCCTTGTTCAGTTTTGGTATTAGTGTAATGTTGGCTTCATAGAACGTGTTTGGTATTGTCCCTTCCTTCTCAATTTTTTGGAAGAGTTTGTGAAGGATAGGCACTAATTCGTCTCTGAATGTTTGGTAGAATTCATTTGTAAATCCATCAGGTCCTGGGCTTTTGTTTTTGGGGAGGTTTTTGATTACCATTTCAATTTCGCTGCTTGTAATTGGTCTGTTTAGGTGTTCTATTTCTTCTTTATCTAGCTTTGGGTGATTGTAGAGTTGTAGGAATTTGTCCATCTCCTCTAGATTGTTAACTTGTTTCCATATAACTGTTCATAGTAGTTACTGATTATTCTTTTGATTTCTGCTGTGTCCGTTGTGATTTCTCCTCTTTCATTGATGATCCTGTTTATTTGTGCTTTCTCCCTTTTTTCCTTTGTGAGCCTGGCTAGGGGTTTGTCTATTTTATTGATTTTTTCAAAGAACCAGCTCTTGGTTTCATTGATCTTTTGGATTGTTTTTTTAGTTTCAATTTCATTTATTTCTGCTTTGGTTTTTATTATTTCTTTTCTTCTACTGGTTTTGGGGTTTTTTTGTTGTTCTTTTTCTAGATCTTTGAGCTTCGAGATTAGGTTGTTTCTTTGCGTTCTTTCTTGTTTCTTGATGTGACCTTCTATTGCTATATATTTTCCTCTTATTACTGCTTTTGCTGTATCCCATACATTTAGGATATTGGTGTCCTCCTTGTCGTTCAATTCAAAAAATTTTTTAATTTCTTCTTTGATCTCCTCATTAGTCCAATGGTCTTCCAGTAGTGTGGTTTTTAATCTCCATGAGGTAGGAAAGTTCCTTGCCTTCTTTTTATGGTTTATTTCTAGTTTGATGCCTTCATGGTCAGAAAAGATGGTTGATATGATTTCAATCTTGGTGTATCTGTTGATGTTTGTCTTGTGCCCCAGTATGTGATCGATCCTGGAGAATGATCCGTGTGCGCTTGAGAAAAATGTGTACTCTGTTTTTTGGGGTTTAGTGTTCTATAGATGTCTGTTAAGCCCAATTGCTCTAGGTCCTTATTTAGAGCTTTGGTTTCTTTACTTATTTTTTGTCTTGTTGATCTATCCATTGTTGATAGTGGTGTGTTGAAGTCTCCCACTACGTATGTGTTTTCTCTGATGTCTGTTTTCAGAGAGGACAACAGTTGTCTGATATATTTTGGTGCTCCTTCGTTTGGTGAGTATATGTTAAGGAGTGTTATTTCTTCTTGAAGTATTGTCCCCTTGATCATAATGTAGTGACCATTGGGGTCTCTTTTTATCTTTTTGAGTTTGAAATCTGTTTTATCTGATATAAGTATAGCTGTTCCTGCTTTCTTTTTTGGTCCATTTGCTTGTAGGATTGTTTTCCATCCTTTAACTTTGAGCCTATTTTTATCTTTTGTAGCTAAATGTGTTTCCTGGAGACAGCAAAAGGTTGGGTTTTGTTTCTTAATCCAGGCTGCAACTCTGTGTCTTTTTATTGAAGAGTTTAGTCCATTTACATTTAGAGTTAATATTGATATGTTAACATCTGTATTTGCCATTGTGTTTGTCTTTCCTTTGGTTTTATTTATTTATTCTTTTAATAACTTTTTTTTTTTTTGGCCTTCTTTCATTGTTATTCGTCCCTCTGAGGTTCTGGCTTTAGGACTCCTTGTAGTATTTTTTAGAGTGGGGGTTTAGTTGCAATGAAATTCCGGAGTTTCTGTTTGTCTGGGAAGGTCCATATTCTTTCTTCAAAGAGGAAGGAGAGCTTTGCGGGATAGAGTATTCTTGGTTGGCATCTGTTTTCTTGGAGTCTGTTGACTATGTCCCTCCACTCTCTCCTTGCCCGTAGTGTTTCTTCGGAGAAGTCTGATGTCAGCCTGATTGGTTTTCCTTTGAATGTTATCTGTTTCTTCCCTCTTGCCAGCTTCATTATTTTTTCCTTGTCCTGGATTCTTGGGAGCTTTACTATTATGTGTCTTGCTGTATTTTTCCTTTTGTCGTGGAAGTTTGGTGTTCTTCTTGCTTCTTGTATATCAATTTTCAGCTCCTTCTTCACATTTGGGAAGTTCTCTTCAATTATCTCTTTGAATATTTTCTCTGTTCCTACATCTCTCTCCTCTCCTTCTGGTATTCCTATAACTCTTATATTTCCTTTCCTCATGGAGTCAGATAGTTCCCAAAGTCTTTCTTCGTTCTTTTTCCTTCGTACTTCTCTTTCCTTTTCTGTTTTGGTTCTTTTTATTTCTGTGTCTTCAAGATTACTTATTCGTTCTTCCATTTCATCTATTCTGCTTTCATTGCTTTTCCCAGAATTCTTTAGTTCTTCCATTAATTCTTTGATCTCCTGCATTTCTTTTACTTCCCTCTTTAGGGACTCAATTTCTTTCTTCTGACCGTTGTTTTCCCTCTCTAGGGACTCAATTGCATTCTTCTGATCATTGATTATTTTTCCCTTATCATTGTTTTCCTTTATGACTTCTGTCAGTTTTTTAATCACGGCAATTTTAAATTCTCTTTCTGGAAGGCTCAGAAATTCTTCCAAGTTATTGTCGTTGCAATCTGGGGGCTGGTTTTCTTTTTGTGGTGTGCTTTTTCTCTGGAGAGTTGCTAGGTTGCGTGTGGTTCTTCTCCTCCCTACTGTCTGTTTTCTAATTTGCCGTATGCGTTGGGACACTGTGTTGTTGGGACTGGCCGGCATCTTGGGTGGGCTTCTCTGTTCCCCTCTGGTTCCTCCAGGAGTCATCTGTCAGTTTCAAGCAGTCTTTACTGGAGAAAGGTCCCTGTTCTAAAATGCCGATGTGGGGACACACTCCCCTGTGCGCCTGGTCTGCCCCGGCGGTGGGTTCCTGCTCCCCTCTGGGCTTGAACTGCAGGCCAGAGGGGGTCTGGCGTGGGCGAACTTCCCCCGCTCACCTCTGGCTCCTGAGGAAGCCTTCTGCAGGTAGTCTTTACTGAAGAAATGTCCCTGTTCTAAAATGGTGATGTGGGACACACTCCCTGCGCGTCTGGTCTCAGGCACACTCTTCTGCGCGCCTGGTCTGCCCCGGCTGTGGGTGCTCGCTCTCCCTGTGGGCTCAGACTACTTGTTCGGAAGGGGCCCGGCGTGGGCTAACTCCCCAGCTGGCCACTAGCTCCTTCAGGAGCCTGTGCTGGCTTCAAGTCGCTAGGTGGCACCAGAGATCTCTCCTAGAGCCCTTGGGGAGCTGATTTTCCACCCCGTGGGACAGGGAGCAGAGCGGGGATGGTAGGGTACACCTCAACGGCTTTGGGGTGCTGTGTCTGCCTTGTGCCCCACCATCGTGGGGAACCCACGCCCCTAATTTCGTGCCCCGGGTCTCAGTTCCAAAGCCCTCAGTTCCAGGACTCAGGCTGTAGCCCAGATCAGTGGCGCGGGAATGGCGCCTTTTGAATCCCGCTCCCCTGCCTGGGCGCCTTGTTCCTGCTCACTCAGGGAGGGCCTCCGCGGTCTCCCCGCAAGCCTAGGTCGGTCTCCCCGCAAGCCTAGGTCGCAGGCGCGGGGACCTGGGTAGCTGTGATCGATCCGGATCCGCGTCTGCTTTTTCCACGCGCCGCTTTCCGCGCAAGCTTACCGGGCGGCCGGGGCTGTGTGCTGGTGCTGGTCTCCTCCTGGGGGGCGGGGCTCTCTTTAATGGCGCCTGGAGCTCACCTCCGCGGCGGATCCTGCAGGGTTCTCCACAGCTCCCGTTCACGGGGTGTGGTGGCTGCAATAGTTCCTTTCCACTCACAGTCCCACTTGCTGCGTCCGTTTTTCTTGTTGGCCGTTTTGGTTTGTTGTTTTCCTCCTCTCTGCCGGGCGGAGAGTGCCGCCTCTGTGGGCGGGGGAGGGGAGCAGGGTTCTGCGCTTCCCTCCCTTCTGGTCCTCTTTTATGGCCACTTTCTTCTTCGGGCAGTTTGCTGGAGTCGTCCGTTTATCTTCCGTGTCCCAGTTCTCACTGGGACCTGCCGCTTTTCCTCCCTATTCACTTTTTTTAATGGGAGATCTTACTCGCAGCGTCTCCTCGCCGCCATGTTGCTCCGCCCCCTCCCACTATTTGTGTCTTATGAATATAAGAAAGAGTGAATGCTGGGTTATGTTACAGTCTGTCAGAGGTCAAGGGCGCTGTCTACCCTGCACGTGGCACAGCTCAGTGGTAGGGGAAGCCAGTGAGGTAACTATGAGTGAGACAGAACAGCTGTTATTAAACTTTGCTGAAGATTCACTGTTTGTTTGGGTTTTTTGTTTTTTGGTTTTTGGTTTTTTGCCCTCAGAACCAATTACTTCTAAAATTTAGTTTTAGAATAAAATCTTAAGGAAGAAAAAGAAATAAATATGTAAGAAATAAAGTCTGTTTCTCATCCTGTTTTCTTCAACCATTCAGTTCCTGTCCTTGGAGGCAGTATCTGGTTGTCAATTTCTTGTGTATCTCTCCAGAGAGGTCCTATGCATATCTGTATACTATATAGACATACAAACGCACATATGTGTGAATATATATACCCACGTACATATATATGCATATATATATAAATGTACCCTACATACCTCCTTACTTCCCCTTTAAAATGTTTTTGAGATTATTAATATAAAATCAGAAAGAATTTCCTTGTTCTTTCTAATTTCACAATATTTCGCCACTGGAATGTGCCATAATTTAACCACTCTCCCTTACTGATCTACATTTAAGTTGTAGATCTATATTTAAGTGAGGAATATGTTGCTATTCCCAATAATGGTGCTGTGTACCATTGCCTATACTTCATTTCAATGTGTATGAGTGCATGTGTAAGAAAAATCCATATACTTTGGGTTACTGGGTTGAAGGGTAAGTTCATTTTTAATTTTGACAATTTTGGCTAAAATTTTCTTCATGGATTTTCCAAAAACTTTATGATATTGCCCCCTCATTCCTTTCCTTTCTGTCTTCATCAACTTTAGGTGAGCTAAAATTATCAAAAATACAGAAAAATGTGAAGCAGAATATACGTGACAGTATCTCCTTGTTCAGTTTGGGGATAGGATTTGATGTTGATTACGACTTTTTGAAGAGACTGTCCAATGATAACCGTGGAATTGCTCAAAGGATTTATGGAAATCAGGAGACTTCTTCCCAGCTCAAGGTCACATTTTTATCTCTTTTGTTTTCCTTCACTAAAGATTTTTTCAACAAGCAATATCTGAATCATAAAAGAAGATGTCTAAATTAAAGTCAAAACTGTCATTATTTCAGCTATACTGGGGAATAAAAATCAGTCTTTGTCTTTCTGATGCACCCCACCCTACTTGTAGATCTGCATTCATGGTGAGATGAGAGGTACTAAGATGGTGGGTGCCAACTTTCCTATTCTCTAAACAAGTCCTCTGAGGCACTGTCAGGTTTTCCCGTGCCTATAAGCAGTTTGTCCTCCTTAGCTGCATGACCTCTGTTTTCATTTTAAAGTGCACAGACATCTTGGATATAAATTTTTTACAAAGTAATACAAACCAAACTGTGGTCTGTATACTTCCTTAAATGTAAAGGAGATGTGTTACTTGTTTGTTTTGACTGAATGCACAAGAAAAAGATGTTAGAAGAACATACTTTATTCCACCCTCTGTCACTACCATTGTCTGTGTCAATGGTGGACATCATTATTTACACTTGGGGGCCAGTCAGGGATGAGGTTCGGAGTTGGGAAGATCAAGCCAGCTGACTTTTCTTATTCTGTACGTCTGTGAGCTCTTCATGCTGGCCACAATGAAAATGAAATGCTTTGCTCTTAAATCAAAGGTAATGTTTTAATACGTCTTTATCTTCTTTATGTCTCAGTTCATCTGATAATTATGAGAAATTTTCCTTGTCCTAATATTTCCACAGAGATCCTGTGATAATAAATTGAGAGGTAAATCTGCTAAGCATTCAAGGAATCTCAGAAAAAAAATGCTTTAGACCTATACCGTGGTTTGAAAATAATTATTCCACTTTTTTTTTTGGTATTGTAGAAATTCTACAACCAGGTCTCTACTCCATTGCTCCGGAATGTTCAGTTCAACTATCCCCAAACATCAGTAACGGATGTCACACAAAACGGTTTCCACAACTACTTTAAAGGTTCAGAGATTGTGGTGGCAGGAAAACTTGACCCTGACAAATTGGAACAAGTACAGAGCATTGTCACTGCAACTTCGGTACTTCTGCTTATCTGCTTATTCTAAAAATAGTAATTGGTTCCCTGGATACAGTCCATGTTGTGTATTAAGAGGCTAACACCTCTACATTCCAAGAATCATTTGCATAGAATAAAAGCATTAAATGAAGAGGAAGACATTTGAATAAATATGCCATCTTCCCAGCTCTGGTGTAAATCCTTCCTTCCCTTTTTCATCCCAAATCCAATCCCAAACTCCAGAGATAAGCACGTACTTCCTCTTTTGCATTTTTTTTTTTGCATTCCCCTTACAATTGCATAGTATCTTGATTCACTCACTATGGACAAGAAAACTGTGACTTGATTATAATTCTGCTGCCCTGGTGTCTTTCACCTGGCTCTTTCTTCATCTAGGCTAATACAGAGTTAGTTTTGGAAACTCTGGGCCAAATGGATGACTTGGAGGATTTCCTATCAAAAGATAAGCATGCAGATCCTGATTTCACCAAGAAACTGTGGGCCTATCTGACAATCAACCAACTTCTAGCTGAACGGTAAGAGTAGACACTTCAGGGATTTGCAAAAGTGAAGGGTTTACCTTGAATATTTGAAGTAATACACTGAAGGAGTTTGGAACCCAGAAAGGCAGAAAATTAATACAGGGTTTGGATTATTAATTTCCAACACTTCCAGACATATTAACTAAAACTCAATTTATTCTTTTTTCTTTCTTATTAAGTATAACATTCAAACTGTAAAGTATGTGAAGTGCATTAATTTTAACTGGATAGTTTAATGAGTTTTTTCTGTGCATCACCCCTATAATCACCACCCAGATCTGTATTTTGACCACTTCTATCATGTCTGGAGGTTCCTTGCTTCTTACTCCTTCTCAATCAACACTTACCTCCATTGGAAGTTACTATTCCAACATCTGTCATCATCTATCAGTTTTATCTGTGACTAAATTTCATATAACATTACATCAATGTTCTTTCTGACTTCTTTCACCCAATATGATATCTTGAGACTCATTTATGTTGCTGTGAATATAAAAAGTTCATTTGCATTTACTCTTGAAAATAAGTTGTTGTCCCAAGAGGAATTTATGAGTATGCAATTACTATATCACCTAAGGAAGGACTTCCTAATAGTTACCGATTTTATCTCTGTCTTCTCAGCTGAACTGCATTTAAACTCTCCATTATAAAAGCTATATTTCTAGACTAATGTATGATTCTTTGACCACTTGCATTAGAATTACATGGGGGTTAAACTCATGCCATTCACAGTAACGTGGATGGAGCTAGAAGGAATTATGCTCAGCGAAATAAGCCAGAAGGAAAAAGAAAAATATCGGATGGTTTCACTTATAACAGGAATATAGCGGAACCAAATAAGACATCAGTATATAAAAAAATAATAATAACAGTACAAAACACAACAAAGCAAAAACAGACAATTATAAACCAGAGACATACTTCAGAGGAGGAGGAGGGAGAAGAATGAGAGGGAGGGAGGGAGGAGCACAGGGTACTGTGGTGATGGTGCATGGGTGCCTTGGGGAAGAAAATTCAATGGGGACTCAAACTGAGGGGGTGGGGGGAAGCAAATATTGTCTAAAAAAATTTAAAAAATGATAAATGTTAAAATAAATAATAATAAATAAATAAAAGGGAAAAGAAAAAGAATTACATGGGGGTGTAGTCCTCCCTGGTGGTGCAAGGGATTAAGACACAACCTATGAAGCTATCCACAGCCACTGCAGCATGAGTTCGATCCCCTGCCAGGGAGATATCCACATGGTGCAGCAGACCTCTCCTGACTCACCTGCTGCTCCCCTCAGCAGTGTATTTCAGTCAATCTGCCTGTTCTGTTCCCCACTCTGTCTCTGGTGAATCCTCTCACCCCCGCACCTCTGGCCTGTACCCCAGTTCTTGTTTGCATAAATACATCTTTTTTTTTTTTAAAGAATTACATGGGGGTGTTTGATAAGAAAATTACCATCCCTGAGCCCTACTCTACCTATTTGGTCAGATTCTTAGGAAGATGGATCATCTGAACCAGATTGGGGGGAAATGAAATATGGTTGTAGAACACACACAGAGAAAATCGGTGATGCCAGTGAGATTATAGAAAAGACTCAGGCTGTAAGCTATGACTTTGAAGTTAAGTTAGAAATATTCCTACCCCTTTACAGGAGCCCATTGAGTGCAATTGAATAAGTAAGGTGCTGAAGAAGTGAAATACTGATTTTAAAAAAAGTCCCTGTAAAACAGATCAGTGGCTTGGGGTTGAAGTTGTAGGGATCAATAGATCCCTCCTGTTTTCACTTCTACAGGAAGTATGTAGGGCAGTGAGGCTATTCTGTATGCTACTATAATGGTGAATACATGTGATTACATTTTTCCAAACCCTTGGAATGTAACCACACCAAAAGTGAACTCCAATGTAGGCTGTGGAATTTGTGTGATGACAAAGTGTCAATATTGGTACCTCCTTTATAGCAAATCAACTACTCTGATGGGGGAAGTGGAGAAGTGTTGATAATGGGGATAATAGGGGGTGTGTGTTGAGGGGAAAGGAGCTCTATAAGAAATCTACTTTCTGCTCAATTTTGCAGTGATCCTAGAACTGCTTTTTAAAAATTCCTTAGGACTGCAAGGCTAGATAAAATACTAAGCTTCATAAAGCCAGTTGATTCAAGTTTACCATGTGACCCCCAAGGTCTGGTTGAACACCAGAATTACTGGGTCATGGGACTTGACTCAGCCTTGAACATAGAGATGTTCTCAAAATCTTTATTTCCTGAACACAGAAGCCTGGCTCCTACAGCTGCTGCCAAAAGGAAAATTACAAGAACAATCCTGCAGATGTCTCTGGAACATCACATAGTAACCCCCCTCACGGCGATGGTGATTGAGAACGATGCTGGGGATGAGCGCATGTTGGCAGACTCCCCCCCACAAGACCACTCGTGCTGCTCAGGTCAGCGTTTCCATTTGCAGGAGGAATATTTAGAACTGTTCTCTTACCCTGTTTGGAGGTCCTAGAATCTCAGTTTCTCTCCCTCCCCGAGCCCACGTCTTGCTTTTATGTCTCTGCCTGCACAGGTTTTCCTGTTAATTTACAGTTGGGACAGGTAATTGCTGAGGTTTTCTAATATTTTTGTTCATATGTTTTCCAAGAACTTTTGGAATTTTGGTAACTTACATAACCCCTCACACATTTTAGAAATCAACATTAAAATTTTTTCATCTTGTATGAGTTGTAGCCATGAAGTTAAATTTTGGCACATTTTATTTTTTTTTTTTTTTTTTAGAGGCATGTTTTTATTTGTTTGTTTGTTCGTTCGTTTTGTTTATACATGCACTGGGTACAGTCAGAAGCGCAGGAGGGCGAGAGAATTCACCAGAGCCAGAGCGGGGAGCAGAGGAGGCAAAAGGACCGAAGTACACTGCTGAGGGGAGCAGCGGGCGGCAGGAGAGGTCTGCCCGCCATGTGGGACCCTCCTCCGGTGGCCGGGGAGCAGCCGGGGATCGAACCGGCGCCGCGGAGGCCGCGGGCAGCTTCGCAACCCAGCGCTCAACCTCTGCGCCACCGGGGAGGCCCAAATTTTGGCACATTTTAAAACAAAACTGTTACACTACTGTTTCACATGCATTCAGTGAGGTCAACATTTAATTTGATACTCACCATCATCCATTAAAAAATACATGAACAAATTCTATTTTAATAATTAGAAATTTTACATTTTTTTTAAAGATTTATTTATTTATTTACACAAGCACTGGGTACAGTCCGAAGTGCGGGAGGGTGAGAGAATTCACCAGAGCCAGAGCGGGGAACAGAACAGGCAGATCGACGAAGTACACTGCTGAGGAGAGCAGCGGGCGGCAGGAGAGGTCTGCGCACCATGTGGGACCCTTGACCGGCGGCCAGGGATCGAAATGGCTTTGCAGAGGCTGCGGGCAGCTTCGCAACCCACCGCTCAACTGCTGCACCACCGGGGAGGCCCAGTACATTGTTTTTTTTTTTTTTCTAGTTGAACTTTTATTTCCATCCCATTTTCCTGGCAGAATTATGTTCTAGGGGAACATATTTCTATGCTTAAGAGTCTTATTTGTCATCCTACTCCTCTGCAAGAAAAATTTTACAAATTTAAATTCTTTCAGTTTCTTGTGTCTATAAATTTCTAAGTGTTCAAAGTTTTCTTTTGGATTGAGCTTTATTAAATTACTGAGTAGATAATTGATAAAATAATGTAAAAATAAGAAGTAGCTTATATAAGAAGTATAAGAAGCAAAATTTTATTAGAAATCATTTCTTTTTTTTAAAGATTTATTTATTTATGTATACAAGAACTGAGGTACAGGCCAGAGGTGTGGCGGGGGGCGGTGGTGAGAGGATTCACCAGAGACAGAATGGGGAACAGAATAGACAGATTGACTGAAAAATACTGCTGAGGGGAGAAGCGGGTGAGTCAGGAGAGGTCTGCTGCGCCATGTGGGTTGCTCCCTGGCCGGGGATTGAACTCATGCTGCAGTGGCTGCAGATAGTTTCATAGGTTGTGTCTTAACCCCTTGGGCCACCAGGGAGACCCTAGAAGTCATTTCTTAATGAGAAAATTGACAGAGTGGTTTTTCATGTATGTATAAGTAAGTGTTATTTATTAATAAATTGAAACAGAAAAATTCAGCATCAATTCTCTTTTTAAAAAAGTTATTGGTGGGCCTCCCTGGTGGCACAGGCAGTTGAATGCAGGGCTGTGAAGCTGTCTGCAGCCTCTGCAATGCAGATTCCATCCCGACTGGCATTGGAGATACCCACATGGTGTGTCAGACCATTCCTGTCTCACTCACTGCTCCCCTCAGCAGTGTATTTCCTCAGTCTGCCTGTTCTGTTCCCCGCTCTGTCTCTGGTGAATCCTCTCACCCACCCACACATCTGGCCTGTACCCCTGTTCTTGTATAAATAAATAAATCTTTAAAAAATAAAAAAGTTATTGGCATAAGACCTGATAAACCTTGTTAACGTACGTAAGTAGTTAGAAGTAGAAGAAACTTGTTTATAGTAATGTCACTCACTTATCTGACTTTCATCAAAGTTATGAGACAAAATTCAAGTATGGATTTAGTGTTCAAAAATTGTTTTTAAGGATCTATCTGGTAACAGCTCAGGTCCTGCTTTAAATCTGTTGAGAGCAATGAGTTGTAAACCACCTGACTTGCAAATGGAATTGTTCCCCAGGCCTTGGAGCCATTCTGTTTTCTGGAATTACAACAATTTCAAATGGTTCCAAGAGGTTTTAGGTGAGGACAGGCAGGGCTGCAGCAAGCATGCCTTCCATTTGTAGGCTAGGAGAAAAAGGATTCTTAGGAAAAGTGTATCTAGAAATTGAGTTAAAAATAGAAATCACCCTAAAAATTTTCCATGTTCTCTGTGTCCTGTGAAAGTCCCCAGGTGCCTCTAGTTTATTTGCCTCTTTCCTTCCTCTTTCTTAGGGATGTGTCCTGTTGAAAAATAATCTAGAAAATAACCTACATGCACTGAAGGGATCATTTCATGCATTTTAAATTTTGTCCAATGAGATGAGAACTTTACCACAGTGTTCTGGGGTTCAAGGAACTCTGATTTCTGATGTCCCAGTTACAATAGCTTCACAGCTAAATTTTTCTGGAGAGAAACTCACCCTGGGCTACTAGCATGAGTTTCTCAAAGAAATGCATGGATATGAATTTCATATCAGAAAGCAAATATGAATATCTGGATATGAGAAAGCAAAATGAACTTTTTATAATCAGTAGGTGAACCTTACTGGTAAATAAAATTGCATGGTTTGGTGAGTAAATAGGATTAAATCCAGAAAGATATGAACTGTAATTCAGGACTTCCCCAGAGTATAGACAGGACACACTTCCTGGCCTATACAACGACTTCCCCTAACCTCCTTGGGGTGTTTTCTGCTATTGCAGACCTTCATGCAGGGTCCAGACTCTGCACAGATTCTAACTACAGGCTCACACAGCAGAATTACAGAAGAAGACAAAAGAGAGAAAACTCTGGAATAAAAATAGGAGAAAATCTTATTGAACCTGTGGGTCCAGCATAGAACAGATTCTTGAAATTGTAAGCAACTTCCACAGAAAAGTAAACCTCAAAACTAATGGATACTGGATTGTCCATACAGGTGCCCTGTATTATGGCAGCAAAGTTGCTCCAAGTTCAGTCCCATCTTGGGTCAAACCTTCACCAATGCCAATGGCCCCAATGCCTGCGCAAAGTGCTCCTGTGCTTGAGATGACTCCTCCACATGTGATGAGAGGTAAAAGACATTCGACACTGCCTTCACACCCCAGGTCTCCATCGGATCACAGTCCTGTGGAACATTTGTACATGTTAGCAAGATCACTGTGTCCTGTGAATAGGTGACTTTTCTAGACATCCTTGACTTCCATTGAAAGAAAATAGCTCCCTGCAAGAGTCAACTCAAACTACTGAAACAAAATACCATAGACTGAATGGCTTAAGTTCAATCCCATCTTACTTATTGTTCTGGGAGCTAGAAGACCAAGGTGCTGGCAAAGTATACTTCATAGTTTTGGCTTGTAAGCCACTTCCATCTTTCTGTGATTTCATATGATCTCTTTGTAAAGGCAGGAAGAGAGCAATAGAGTGATTGAGTGAGTCTTTTTCCCTGAGGGGAAAGAGGCTGATGGGAAATAGGGGTGAAGCTGGGGCTCTGGGCAGTTAAAATGGCTGGTAATGAGGGGTCTATGGAGAAGCCACCAGTTTGCCACTTGTGGCTTCAGCTTGGACCTCAGTCTCTGCTCAGCAGATGCTGTCTGACATAAGACAGATGGCATCTGGCCACACGGCTAGCCTGTAAATTCCCCCTCTCTCTAGCTCTATTTCTTTCTTTTTTCTCACTCCCTATGTAAATAAATCCTGTTATTGTCGTTTCTCACTGTAATGTCCATTTTGGGGTTGTGTCCTGCATTTTGAAGTGTGGTGGTGAGTACCTACCAACCAGGTCAACCTAGTTTTCCCCTTCCCCCGCACCCTGCCAGTTTGTTCTATTTCAGGCTAAAAACCTTATAGTCAAAAATATTTTGATATTATTTCCTGTATAACTACTTGGTTATTTTTGTGAGGTTTTTTGTTCATCTGCTTACTTATTTGTGATACCTCTTTTAATCTACATATTTATACATTCACTACATATGTATGCATACATGGTACATATGTGTGCATGTATGTGTGTATCTATGTGCACATATAGTGAATGTGTTTATTTTTCCTCTTGCCATTCTTATTCTTTTTTATCTCTAGCCTATTAAAATATGTAATAACTACAGAAGAAGTATCCACTGTATTTGTAAAATAATGCAGGGCTCTGATGGAAGCTCTATAAGGAGAGACAATGGGTATGGGCCACTGGGCTCCTAGTGCCAAGAAACAGAACCTAGCATATAGTAGAAGCACAATAAATACTTATCCTTGTTAAGGGTGCTTAGGAATAAAATGCTGTTTAAAACCATCTTCCTTTTTATGTTTTTTTTAACTCCTTTGTATATTTTCCAGTTGAAAATGACCCACACTTCATTATTTTCCTACCAAAAAGTCAAAAGAATATTTGTTTCAATATTGATTCAGAACCTGGAAAAATCCTCAACCTTGTTTCTGATCCAGAATCAGGTAAAACAAAAAAAATATGATATGTGAATTAGACAATTAAATCTCTGTTATGCTTCATTGTCACTGTCTGGGATTTCTTTCTCACCTTAATCGAAGTCAGTGTTAATATTAATAGAAGGCTTATATTTGTCAAGATCTGATAATTAGTGGAAAACGAATCATAAATGTATTCATAAGTGATTGAACCATTACAGATAAAATTGAGTATGAACTAATAGATCTCACTGTGATATAATTAATTTAATTTTTTTAAAGATTTATTTATTTATGCATACAAGAGCTGGGGTCAGACCAGAGATGCAGGGGGTGAGAGGATTCACCAGAGACAGAGTGGGGAACAGAACAGGCAGAATGACCAAAGTACACTGCTGAGGGGAGCAGCGGGTGAGTTAGGAGAGGTCTGCTGCACCATGTGGGTTGCTCCCTAGCCGGCCAGGGATCGAACTCGGGGATGGAACTCGTGCTGCAGAGGATGCAGATTGCTTCATAGTGCGGTGCTTAACCCCTTGCGCCACCAGGGAGGCCCAATATAATTAATTTAAACTATAATAAAGCATAGTTTTAAAGTAGGACAGTTGCAAAGGAAAAAATGTTATGTAAATCTTAAAGAGAAATATTAATAATTTTACCCTATTATCAAGTTTTATAACTTTAAATTATGGTGCCCATAATTTTTTCACCCTTTGAAAAAACAAAAGGTGCATATGAGAAAAAAAACTCTTTTTCCCTATAGGGATTTTGGTCAATGGTCAGCTTATTGGTGCCAAGAAACCTGAGAATGAAAAACTAAAAACCTATTTTGGCAAACTGGGATTTTATTTCCGAAATGAAGACATGAAAATAGAAATCAGCACTGAGACCATCACCCTGAGTCAGGGCTCTCGAGTGTCCATCCTGTCCTGGTCTGACACTGCTCGTGTCATTTTTCAGAGGCAAGTATTTTCACACCTGAATTCGAGTCTGTCTCTGATATTAAGTACCTACACACAGAACTTAAAATCACCATTCTAAATATGAAGAAGTCGAGGTTCAGAAATGTTTTTGGCACCTACACCTGTTCCTGGCAGCAGAGCACGTGCCTCTTAGGCTGGCCTGGAGCCTGCGGATAGTAAGTCCTCAACAAATGTGGGAATTTGTGTGGACACAACAATTGAAATCCACAGCCAGCTGTGTGAGAGTGTGCTCAGAAACACTATGGTCCTGCCTTAGGTGTAATTATCTTCCCATTCATATCTGTTGTTTATATACAGTCAAATTGTCAGAATTTTAAAGCTAGGCAGTAAAACCCATTTTGTAATAAGAACATTCTAAAGGTCTTAGTAGACAGTGGGATTGTACCAAAGGAACAGAGAGCCCAGAGTAGCGGTGGCAGGAATGACTTTCTAAAGGGTTTGTTCTGGAATCCTTCATTGCATTTCGAATTTCTCACTAGGGTACTTGTTTCAGTGAAGAAGGAGAAAACTGTGACTATCACCCTAGCTAAAGAGATGTCCTTCTCCATTTTACTTCATCGTGTTTGGAAGAAGCATCCAATCAATGTAGACTTTTTGGGGATCTACATTCCTCCCACAAACAATTTTTCACTTAATGCACATGGACTAATAGGTAAAGTATCACTTGACCATTCAGCATGTGTGAGGTCATTCCAGGGCTTGAACCAGGAGAAATGATGTGGGCAAGTCTTGGGAAAGTGACAGGAGGACCCATATTCTATGCCAGAACAGTTTAGGGTTGACTGGCTTCAGTCATTTTGGTGGGCTATGGGCTGCTCTCTAGTTGCTGGGAAGCTGGCCCTGGAATGATTTTTGTTGGTTGAACTGCAGATAGAGGAAGTCTGGCTCTGGGTTCGCTGGTTAGTAGACCAAAGGCATGCTCCAGGCTGAGTCCTGTGCTGTCTTTGGGTAGCTCCGGGAGGCCAGTCTCTTCTCAGCCAGAAAGGCTTTATAAGATACTGAAACAGCATATTATACAGAAATAAAAAAATATATGATTAATACCACCCAACAGAACAGTGAGAACAGTGTGAGGTGACTCCATTATGCTGTAGCCAGGGCCATTTGCTGTTCCAGATGAGGTTTTCCCAGAACCTAAATTTCACCACCATGAACTGGGCAAGTTAAGAGAAAGTACAGATACATCTTAAGCTTATGATAGAGATTTTTTTCTAACTCAGAAGAGTTGGTGAACTGGTTTAGGAAATCTGTAATAACAAACAGGGTATCTAGGTTTTCTTCCCCTAATTTTTAAAGAACAATTCCAGATTATTGGTGCGTGGGGGTGGATGTGACGTGACAACATACCTTTGTAGAGGTGCAAACCTATACCCTGAAAACATAAACAGTGTTATAAACCAATGCTACATCAATAAACATTAAAAAAAAGAAAGAATGGTTCCAATGTAAGTATGACATCATATCCTTGTTTCTGATTTAGTCTATGATTTTGCCATCAGAGTGTTCGATTTTACTTCTGGTCTGATAGATCAGCCTTATATATAACTGACCAGGGATGAGCAGACAGATGACCTTTTAGCAAGGATCCATCATGGTGTCCTTTTCCCTCTCAATACATAGCTCTATCTTTGAAATTCTGGAGGGAAAGCCCAACTGCAGTTTGGATCAAATTACCACTCTCTTGTGTTTTTTTTTTTAAAGATTTATTTATTTATTTACTTACTTATTTATTTATACAAGCACTAGGTACAGTCAGAAGCGCGGGAGGGTGAGAGAATTCACCAGAGCCAGAGTGGGGAGCAGAGCAGGCAGAAGGACCGAAGTACACTGCTGAGGGGAGCAGCGGGCGGCAGGAGAGGTCTGTGCGCCATGTGGGACCCTCCTCCGGTGGCCGGGGAGCAGCTGGGGATCGAACTGGTGCTGCAGAGGCTGCGGGCAGCTTCGCAACCCAGCGCTCAACCGCTGCGCCACAGGGGAGGCCCACCACTCTCTTGTTTTTAAATAAATGTCTGTACTTTGATTCTCTAGGCCAGTTCATGCATGAACCAAAGGTACATATCTTCAATGAGCGCCCTGGAAAGGACCCCGCAAAGCCAGAGGCAAGCATGGAGGTGAAAGGACACAAGTTGACCGTCACCAGGTAGGCCTCAGATGAATAAGAAATTAGGGAAAAGGCTCTGGTTAGGATGGACTCCTACGGCAACAAAAGATACCAAAACAAGAAAAGCTATTTTAACATTACCTATGTCAAATTAAACCATCATCAGGAATAGACACATTTGTGACATTTGTACAAGGACACCACAGAGAGTCCAAAGAACTAGAAAATGAGTGGTCTTTTTGCACATGAGGCTAGAGCCTTCTTTCTGAGTCTGAAACTACTGAGTGCACTTTGGTCTATGAATCTACTGAGTGCATTTTTTTTTAAGATTTATTTATGTATGCATACAAGAACTGGGGTACAGGACAGAGGTGCAGGGGTTGAGAGGATTCACCAGAGATAGAGTGAGAAACAGAACAGGGAGATTGACTGAAATACACTGCTGAGAGAAGCAGCAGGCAAGTCAGGAGAGGTCTGCTGTGCCACGTGGGTCACCTCCCTGGCTGGGGATCGAACTTATGCTGCAGTGGCTGCAGACAGCATTGTAGTGCTGTGACTTAACCCCTATGTGCCACCAGGTAGGCTTCTACTGAGGGCATTTTTGTGTAGCTTTTCTTACACAGCCATATCCATAAGCTTCATTTTGAAGTGAGAACTTAGACATTTGTAAAACATTCATAGAGTATAAAATCTTACAATTCTGGAGACATTTTCCCCAGTCTTATACAGATGTCTTACCTGTGCCTAAGTTGGTTATCATATTAAAGCTTTTACAAAACAGAAAATATTAGAAATAACTATTTGCACACAAATGTCACTGACTTCCACACAATTAAGCCATAAATTGTAATAATAATTAGGCCATAAAATTATAAAAATAAGTACTACCCTCAACATAGGTTTCATAGCTAAAATAATAGATTCCTAGCGAGTATACCATTCAACTGGTACAGGATTACTAGAGATACCTGAGCAGCCAATATGCATCAGTAAACATGTTTTGTAGAAGAATGGTGAATACCAGCTAATGATGGTGATAATACGTTATCTGAAGGTAGTGAAAGTGCATCTACTGTACTCTAATAAAAGGTAAGTCTTGGTCTCATTTTCATGTACCACAAGCATCCCATGATGCATAATTAAAACTGAGATGACTATGGTACTTGAACAATTATACACACACACACACACACACACACACACACACAGACACATATATTTTAAAAATTACATAATATATATGTATATTTAAGGCTCATTAATGGAACTATGCCATATAACTTTCAAACCATTGACTTCTTTGTCCTTTAAATGAAAGACATGAAATTCTCAACAGCAGGTGGCATCATCTTTAAATAAAAACACTCACCCCTAAAGTGATGGCGAGAGGCACTTCAGGTTCACTCTTCCGGTAATATATGAAGTGAGCCCACAGCACTTTGCAGTTTTGTACCCATCTTGCTTCTTTTTTTTTTTTTAAGATTTATTTTTTTAACTTATACGAGAACTGGGGTACAGGCCAGAGGTGTGGGAGGGTGAGAGGATTCACCAGAGATGGAGTGGGGAGCAGAACAGGCAGACGGACCGAAGACACTGCTAAGGGTTGCAGTGGGCGAGGCAGGAGAGGTCTGCTGCTCCTTGTGGGTATCTCCCTGGCTGGCTGGGAATTGAACCCACGCTGCAGAGGCTGCGGACAGCTTCATAGCGCTGTGCTCAACCCACTGTGCCACCGGGGAGGCCCACCCATCTTGTTTCTATTTGAAAGTTCATTTGCACACTTTAACTTGCCAGAAAAGTCCATATTGGTCAATTATCTAAGCACACACTGCTTATATTCTGTCCTTTCAATCCCAAGTCACAGATTCTGATGTTCCCTACAACTTGGGGAATGGGGGTGGTGGAGGCGGCCAGATGATGTGTGAGACGGGGCGCAAAGTACCGCAGGGGAGACTGAGTCTCTGTTCTAGATGTGTAGGGAAGCATGCCATGGTCTGTGTGGTAACCATGGGCCTCATTTTCTTTGCAGAGGCTTACAGAAAGACTACCGAACGGACATTGTGTTTGGAACGGATGTCCCCTGCTGGTTTGTGCACAACAGTGGAAAAGGTTTCATTGATGGACATTACAAGGATTACTTTGTGCCTCAGCTCTATAGTTTCCTCCAATGGCCTTAAAGGTTTACACTTTTGGAAATTTGTATAAATTTACATACCTTTCTCTGCCACTTTTATAGTCATTCTTCAGTTCGAGTAATTAAAACCTAACCAGATATCATGGTGGTTCACAAAACTTGTTAACACATCTGAAAAAAATAAATACTTTGCAGAGACATTTTAGGATTTTGCTGTTTTCAGAGGCTAAGGTATGTTCATCGAAGCAATGCAAGAAAAACTGCTTTGGAGAGTCAAGCTGGCATCCTGAGAGAACCTTGAATTTGGCATTTATTGTAATGATTTCAGTATTGCTGAGAATCAGGTCCTCAGCCTTGCAGATTGTGTACATTTTTATGCTGGTTACTTGTGAAGTTCAATTAAGAAAAGGTTATTGGGTGAACAAGGAATAAAAATAGAGGAAGTTACTTGATCTTAATTGTTTCACGTCTATATCTATCTATAGATACACACACACACATACACACAAATGCTGTCACCCTCAGGCAGGACAGCCTTGCCCCACTACCTGTGATGGCCCAATGTGGGTTGTCAAGATTCTACCCATAGTGTTGGCCTTGAAGGCCCTTATTAGGCAGAGTTCACCAGAGAAACAGAACCAATAGGAGACATATACATATATATGACATTATGTATAGCCTGTCCTTGAGTAACCTCAATTTATTCAACATTGTTTCATTATGTTGATGAGAAAAAATATTGACTGCCCCCTGGGCCACGATCCATGACACTGGCATTTTCTCCCCAGTCTGCTTGGGTTTTTTCTGGGAATTCTGGTTTCCTCCACTATCCCAGAGCTGTGCACATGAGGTCCATTAGCTTGTCTCATTTGTCCCTCAATGAATGTGGGTGTATGCAATGGTGTGGACTACAAAAGGCATTCTGTTCAGGGTTCGGTCCCACCTTGCACCCTTAGCTGCTGGGGGAGGTTTCAGGCATCCTTTGTTACTTGTACTGTTACTGCTACTTGGTGAAAATTTAACTTTAAAACTTCTACTTTCCACTATGAAGTTTAGTTTAATAGTATTTTATGTGTGCTCAGTAGTTCTAAAAATCATGACAACCTTGGGTTGGGGTTACATGCAGCATATTGAGCAACAGAATAACATCAAAAGAAACTAGGTTTAAAATCAAACTCACGTTATTCCAATCATCGAAGTTTTTATTAATAGCTAGTGTTTTGAAATTCTTTGCCTATAAAAATTTTATTTTGTTCATATATATGCCTCTGAGGCCAGAAATGTCTACTCTATATAATTTTGAATTAAAAACAAATAATCAATTTTGAATTTGAAATGAAGGAACCAAATTAATGGGAATAGTTGGCAAGGAAAGAACTATTCCACTGTCTACATCCATTTAGTTTCTGAAAGTATTATGTTCTCAGCAACCTTGAAAAACAGCATGAGAATTACTTGTATTATGCTTATTTGTTCTCTGGCGCATATTGCAACACATTAGTAATTGATCAATATTTAATTTTGTATATAGTGGTGGTATCCGATTTAAATCTTAGCTGGGATATTACAGACTGGTATTTTTCAGATATATAAATCATCTTTAGGACTTATGTACCCTATCTTCAAATCTTTTCCCATAGATCAATCTCAACATAATCCATTAAACCAATTAAATATATATATTTATTCAGGAAAATGAGTATGTGTTTGAGAAAAGCCAGACTCAGATCATATCTCTGTCATCTGTTTATATTTGAGTTTTTAAATTACTGAAAATTAAACACATTTTCTTAAGAGTTGGAAAACTGGCAATTCAAAGAAACGAATTTTAAAAAAAGATTTAAGAGTGTGACAGGGTGTATTGAAAATGAACTGTGAATCAGGAGTTATTTAAGTATCTATTAGTATGAGGGCTTATGCAAATCATTCTATATACTTTAAAGGATCAGTTAATAACATACAAAGTAGCATCTTCTTTTTAGTCTTACTACAATCAAAAGAGATTGAAGTGACTCCAGAACCAGTTAGGTCAAAATAAAAATTCTCTTTCTACCTGGATAAAAATACTTATGCTTTAAGAATTAGTGTTGTTATTCTTTTCTCAACTTTTTTTCCACATCTATATTGGTGACTTTTTCTGAAATATCAACGTAAGAGAAAAAAAATCAAGGATGGCTCCTTTTAATAGTTCAATGATTCAGTTATTCAGTCAACATTTCTGGGGTGACTTTGATCAACTAACTAACTTACAATCAAGGCTGCCTCATATGCTAATGCTAATTCGTGATTCCATTTTTTTTTTTATTGCTCTCTTTTTTTTAAAGATTTATTTATTTATTTTTATACAAGAATCAGGCCAGATGCGCAGGAGGGTGAGAGGATTCACCAGAGACAGAGCGGGAAACAGAACACGCAGACTGACGAAATACACTGCTGAGGGGAGCAGCGGCGAGACAGGGAGGTCTGCCGCACTATGTGGGACCCTTGCCAGCTGGCTGGGGATGGAACCGGCGCTGCAGAGGCTGCAGACAGCTTCACAGCATGGCGCTCAACCACCTGTGCCACCAGGGGATGTTCAATTTCGTTGCTCTCTTATAGTGTTTAGTGTGCTATTGAACTCAACAGTGAATTTTTAATTTTGGATACTGTTATTTTTTTTTAACATTTTATTTTATATAATTTTTACATCATTTTTTATCTTTGTACAATGCATGCATTTTCATTTTGGTTATATTCCCCATACAATTGCACACCCCCCCCTTATTTTGACTCTAGTTCTTCTCCCTGCCCCTCTCTACTCCTTCCCTTCCCCCCCATAGTGTGTCTCTGGTTTATAGTTGCTTGTTGATTTTGATTATTACTTTGCATTGATTAGTCTTTTTCCTGGTCTCTTATTTAGGTTTTCTAAATTCCTGCTATGAGTGAGACCATCCGGTATTTTCCTTTTTCTTTCTGACTTTTTTTCGCTGAGCATGATCCCTTCTGGCTCCATCCATGTTGCTGCAAATTGCATGTGGTTATCTTTTTTGATTGCTGAGTATTATTCCATTGTGTATATGTACCACATCTTGATCCAGTCATCTATTTTTGGGCATTTGGGTTGTTTCCATCCTTGATGATTTTTTTAAAGATTTATTTTATTTATTTATGCTTATAAGAATTGGGGTCTAGGCCAGAGTTGTAGGGAAGGGGAGGAGGTGACAGGATTCACCAGAGACAGAGGGTGGAGCTGAACAGGCAGATCTACTGAAATATTGCAGAGAGGACAGGCCTGCTGCACCATGTGGGTCAGCTCCTTGTCCAGGATCCAACGCATGCTGCACTGAATGGTGATAGCTTGATAGCTCTGAGACTTTAACCTCTGCACCACCAGGGAGGCCCTAATTCTGTGATTCCATTTTAATGAAAATAGAAACTGAGGTGTACACTGGTTTCAGTTAATAGTTAAATTAATGAGGCCTAGTGAAATCAGGGAAGACTCTTAATTAGCTAGTCCAGATTAGTTTCTTTTCATTGACCTATCATTCATTTGAATACCAGTTCATTGAATGTTGTCAGTTCCTCCACAGCATTCATTTTGGGTCTACACCTGCTTCTTATTCTTGCATCTCTAGCACATACTGCAATGGCTAAATTCCTGGCGGCACTCAGTAAACGCTGAATGAATTTACTCAAATACATCAGCAAAAACTGACAGGAGTTAGAAGCACACAAAGGAAAAATAAGCAAATATGGCAATGGGATTATGGCATTCTTTTTTTTTTTTTAAAGATTTATTTATTTATGCAAGAACTGGGGTACAGGTCAGAGGCGCAGGAGAGTGAGAGAATTCACCAGTCCATTCACCAGATGGACTGAAAACACTTCTGAGGGGAGCAGCAGGCGAGACAGAAGAGGTCTGCCACGCCACGTGGGTTTCTCCTCTGCTGGCTGGGAATCGAACCCACACTGCAGATGCTGCGGACAGCTTCACAGTGCAGCGCTGTGCCATGGGGGAGGCCTGGATTATGGCATTCTTAATGAAGACAATTCAGGGAATTTGATTTCCCAAGACATCAATGCCAATGATTTGATGTAATCTCCAACAATGTAATCTCAAACTTTGCAGAAAGCAAGAGGACAAGCCACAGATTGAGAGAAAATATTTGTAAAAGACATATCTGATAAAAAGGAGTTATTTAAGGGCTTCCCTGGTGGCACAAGGGGTTGAGCACCACATTATGGAGCGGTCCGCAGCCTCTGCAGCACGAATTCAATCACTGGCCAGGGAGCAACCCATATGGCGTAGCAGACCTCTTCTTTCTCACCTGTTGCTCCTCTTGGCAGTGTATTTCAGTCAGTCTGCCTGTTCTGTTCCCCACTCTGTCTCTGGTGAATCCTCTCACCCACCACGCCTCTGGTCTGTACCCCAGCTCTTGTATGCATAAATAAATAAATCTTAAAAAAAATTATTCAAAACATACAAAGAATTTAAAACTCAACAACCAATTAAAGGAAACAACCCAATTAAAACACAGGCAAAAGACTTAAATAGACATCTTCCCACAGAAGGTAAACAGATGGCAAATATGAAAAAATGCTCAGAATGGGGCACCTGTGGTAGCACAAAAGGGTTAAGTCTCAGCACTATGAAGCAATCCACAGCCACTGAAGCACAAGTCGATCCCCTGCCAGGGAGCTAGCCCACATGGCACAGCAGACCTCTCCTGTTTCACCTGCTGCTCCCCTCAGCAGTGTATTTCAGTAGATCTGCCCGTTCCTCCCCACTCTGTCTCTGGTGAATCCTCTCTCCCCACCCCACCCCCCCATCTCTGGCCTGCACCCAGCTCTTGTATGCATAAGTAAATCTTTTATAAAAATGCTCAGCATGTCATTAGGGATTACAAATTAAATGAGATATCACAACACATCTATCAGAATGGTCAAAATCTCACACTGCCAACATCAAATGCTGGTAGGAGGTAAAGCAAGAGGAACTCTTGTTCATTGCTGGTGGTAATGAAAAATGATACAACCACTTTGGAAGGCAGTTTCTTTGAAGCAGTTTCTTATGAAGCTAACCATCCTCTCACCATTTGATCAACTGTCACACTCCTTGGTGTTTACCCAAAGAAGCTAAAAACTGATGTCTAAAAAAAAAAAAAATAAAACCTATACAAGGATGTTTATAGCAGCTTTATTCATAATTGCCAAAACTTGGAAACAACCAAGAAATCTTCAGTAGGTGAACGGATAAACTTGGTACATTCACATAATGGAATATTACTCAGTGCTAAAAAGAAATGAGTTATCAAGCCATGAGACATGGAGGAAACTTAAATGCTTATTACTTAGTAAAGGGAGTTGATCTGAAATGACTACATGTGGTATGATTCCAATTATATGACCTGCTCAAGAGGGCAAAACTATGGAGCTGGTAAAAATAAATCAGGGTTGCCAAGGGTTGGGTGGGAAGGAGGGATGAAAAGGTGGGATGCAG